ATCTTTTTGATACAACAATAATTTACTTGAAAATAATTTATTATGATTTACCGTATACTCATAAATTAGTTCATAAAATCCAAGATTCGTCTATAACATGATTTCCGAATTATCCATAAGTTGAAAATGTCCCGGGGAAGTGCTTTTTCGACCTGTCATGGGGGAACTTGCTCGTGGTGACAGTTTTTCGGGGTATACTTCACTGCCATCAACACTTCGTGCCGTTGATCGTTTTTCTTTAGACGTCCAATACATTATCCTTAGCACATTACTACGGTATTCGCAGTGGAAAATACAATTTACCATCGTTGTACCAATGGATATCAACCTGGAATGAATGTTTGTTAAATAGGTATGTTATTGATTTATTAAGCTGTTTACTAATTTATTTAGTTTATTTTTCTTTGGTTACTTATCTATATCTTCTCATGGTCATTCCCCTTACCTAAAATATGGGCCTTAATCACGACGTGGGAATACTGTTTGCGCAAGGTGTGAAAGTCAGGTCTTCATCATGAAATTCTATTAACTTAGCCACCTTACTTATCACACTCTGCATTACTTTATTACTCTTTAGTGCCGGATAATTTACTGGAAAAACTCCATGAAAATTATCCAGAAATTGGCTGCTAATTGGAAATGATTTGTTTACTTCAGGCCGGTATTTGATGGTCAGTTATAAACTTTTCCTGCCTGGATTTCTCTATTATCTCACCTTTCGTTTTTCCTTCTTTTTCTTTCAACTTCATCATTATAATACTGTGAAGGATAAAAAAATATTCTAGAGAATTGTAAGCACATACCCTGGTGGTACTAGTGATATTCCAAGTACGATTTCATTGCCTTCTATAAAATTCCATCGAATCAGAAGGCTTGCAAGAGCAGGTATCGACATGAAGACAATACACATCAGCGATGTCATCATGAATACCTTGAGATTTGATTCGCGTCGACTATGACTATGACATCGCCGTAGAGACGATGATATTACTTGGCCGTAGCTCTAAAAGCAAAAACGACTGAACCTCGGTGATTTTGCGGCTAAAAAGTGAATCTACACTCAAATAACATGGAGAGAATGAGTGAAATGATCATCATTATTATGAGACCACGCGTGAGAGAAGTGGTGTTGGAGGGCAGCCAGTAAATAGCAAGAGCAATACATCGACAGTTTTGACATTCTAAGCGTGACGCGGACATGCGCTAGAATCATCTATATTTCCTCGAAAATGGTAGAAGGAAATCAAGCGCAAGCACCTATGGGGCAAGCGAGAGGTGAAGAAATTGTTTTATAGAGAAGCAGTGGTAATTGGTGACAAAATCACCAACGCTGCCAGTCCCTCTGGGATCAGCCATGCATTCTATTTTGCATTTATAATCGAAAAAGTAATTGGAAGCTCCGCATTCAGCGTATGCAATCAGTTGCAATTTAAGTTGAGGTTGACGTCAGCTCTAATTTTCCAGATGATTGTCTGCCTAACAAGTCCCTTCCAGAATCAGGAATACGTTTTAAACGGGTTTCAAACCACGAACTACGTGGACAACAGTTGAAGCACAGTTTTATAAATAATTACCCAAGCGAGCGATTATGGTAATTAAAGATAAAACTGGAACTTCAGAGTACATGAATCAAACATTAGATACGGACAAAGTCGGCAAGAAGAATTCTGTATAACTTCAACACGACGTACCTGTCTACTTCTAAATATGGAGAGCAGGGTAACGAAACTGATCATATAAGCAAGAACGACGAATAGGAAATGCGCAGTACAGTAGGCGATGTGCGTGGATGAAATCACAGGGCAGTGTTGTGTTGGATTCAGTGAATCTAGACCAGCCGATGTGCGAGCCGCTATCAAAATGGACACCTGAACAGATACTATTGCCACCCAGACTCGAGTTCTTTGGTAAAAAATGTGTGAGGAAAAGCAGGTATGGGATGCGCGCGGTCGCGGTGCCAGTGTAACTGTGCCGAAGGTTATCGTAACTGTTTCATTTTCATATTTAAAAATTCTTTTTAAAATTTGCGCTCAGATTTTCTCAGATTCACTTAAACATCTGCGGAATTGAAGAATTCTACATTTTTCGACGAATTGAAGACTAACCAGTTGAACGACGAGCACCAGAAACAACCGCTTCAACTTGTAGGTGTAATTCCAGGTACGATAGTAATTGCTAGGCTGATAAACAGCTATTGTTCGTTCCACTGAGGCAAATATCACCACCAATGCTGGTAGCTGTGTGCCCACAATTATAAGTGCTGGCCATGGCCTCTGTAAAATAATCAGATTCAGTTTATTATTATAATATGTTATGCCATGGAAAGGTAGTAGTTGCATAAGTCGGGTGTCGTTCATTGCTAACTTGTCAAGTAAGAGTTTGCAAAAATCAAGGTATGCCGAGTCAGTATGATGCAGAGTACACGGAATTAAGCGTTGATGTGAACTATAACAAAAGTAAAAGAGGTGGAACACAAGAATGTGTTTGGCGGCTAGGAAGGGGCCTCTTCCTAAGTACAAAAAGTGAATGGAAAAGTAGTCCATCGAAGTAGACAGCAGGGATAGGTAGTGTTAAGGATGGTATAAACATCTAAAAACAACAGTGTTACACAAGTGAGAAGAGTTTGTGGAGGACTTTTGAAGCAACTGGAAGAGGCATGTACAAAAGTAGTAGAACGAACGGGAGGGAAATAAGAGAAATATGGGCAAAAATCGGTTGACATTCTAAACAGGTGTTAACTGTACTCAATACTGTTTTATAAAATATAGTCTTATCTCTATTTATACACGGAAAATGAAAAAAGGTGGAAAATATTTTGCACTGCGTTTTCAATCTGACTGAGAAAGCATAAAAGCTTTCCTTGAGACGTACGTGCGGTATAACTGCTAATATACTGTAAACTGAACGCACCGTGAAGAAGCAGTCTTCTACAGAGATGGGCGTCCTCAGATGATCAGTAACAATCGCATTTAATCGACCAAGACCTTAAATCACCATATAGACATACCATACAAGCATATGATACCTCAGATTTCTATGCTTTTGTTCTTGTTGTTTTGACTTTTTCCTTTGTAATTTATGCTCGTCACCCAAAAACAGCTAGATTTTAACAACTACGAGCAAAATGTTTTGTAGAATCTGACTCTTACAATTTGATCCAGACATCTGCCAAAAATGACAGAGTTCAGAGTTGACTGATGGTTTAGGCGTTTGTCGCCGCTTACAGCGTGTGGAGATTTATAGTTAGCCGTGTATACGCGCGGCACTCCGCTTCAATACAACTCCTATTTCTCAATGTTGTGTCATTCCTAATTTTACGGATAAATTACTAGCCACAACATTGCTTGGTTCGTATGGTAAAAGGAAGAAGACGAGTGCAGCCCGGATAGACTTTCGTAGGAGGCTCTTAACCCATTAGAGCTGAGTGTTGTATTGTTTTCGTAGCCGTTCTCACGAATGTGATGTTGTGAGGAAAAAAAACTGAAGTGAACACCTTAGTCGTGAGAAATATTACATACCCGTCATTATGTAGGCGATGCCATTCACAATTTCAGCAGCTTCAAGAAAAATAAACACAATATACTTCTTCCTGAGCGATTTTCGTCGACCAAATACGTAAATATTGAAAATGTTGAATAGGATAGAAGTGGAACCTGAAAAGCAGTTACAGATGCACTTGAATTCAAAATTATGAATCAGCTACGCAGCTTAGGAGTGTTCAGGGGAATGTGCTTTTATTCGCAGTTCTAAAGGTACAGCTCGGCATACTCGATTGACCGCGACAAAAAGGGTTCTGAATCTGTTCTCCCTGCCCTTGTGTGTCCATGGTATGAATGTGTCGACTTACCGATGCCTGGCTTTCAAAAATAATAACTAAGTTAGTTAGCTAATGTAGTCGGGATTATTGAGGGCAAGGGTCATTGTCCGGTGCTTTCAGACGTGCCGATGTGCCGACCAAGAGCCGGCGTTGCTGGTCTCGTGTTGACAACTTAGGACAGTTTACGTTCGGTACAGCTACCGCTTACGCGGCCCTGAACGCGGTAATCTGTCCTGCTTTGTCAACACGTGGTCAGTAACGCCGTCGGTCGGCACGGCACGCAAGAGGTTTCGGTCAGTGTGGAAGTGGAATTCTCAACAAATTACAAAAACAATCAGGCATGAAGGAGTGGTCGAAGTTGATATTGTTTGATATCAATTGTTGCAAATATAAAAATAACATCACTAACCTATCGCAAGATAGACGATACATAGTACTACCGTATAGAAACTGCTGACATCAAAGACCGTACGTGGATTTTCAGCATCGAAATCTTCCGACATCCAAAATGAACCACTGCAATTTATTGGTATGAATGACCAGCTAGCAGCTAATTGGACCAGAGCGGTTCCCCGAACGACGGTGATTGGTCGGTAACTCGATTAAGCGCGAACATTCAATACGAACAAAAAAGGTTATAGGAATGTCCTCCCAGATAATGAATAGAGAATGGGCAAAAATTGCAACATTGAAAACGCGGAACCTGGATGGAAAGAAGAATCTAGGATAGATCGGTTCTGAAGAGGAGCAGAAGTCGTGGGAGGGAAACCAGTGAGACCTGCGGAGAAAAGCAGACCTGCTTCTGTTGATTTAGAGGCAGAACATAAGTGATATGCACTGAGTCCTCCTTTACAATTTAACGAGAATATGAAGTTATGCAAAACACCGAGTAAACAATGTCAAATTGTAAAAAGGACAACCAGGAGGAGCAGCAGAGTAAACAAAATTGGTTTCTAAATCAGCATGAACTAGTTAATTGCTTCCGGAAGTTGGATGAGCATGAAGTATGAAAACCGCTCTAATTAACGTTTTCAGGGACATACTAGAAATGAGCTGTATCTAGAAACCTCTAACCATTGAACGAAGACCCGGTAAGGGGCCATCCCACACATGAGTTCGGTAAGTTGGGAACTCTACCATGAACGCCTCCCTGATCCCATGAAGGAGTTAGCCGGGTGCCGGAGGCTGCACCAAAGATAGAATCTCTGTATAGCCTCTAGCCAAAGAAGAATGAGCTTGGTGTCGACGCAATTTGTTACCACCACGTTTCTTCTAACTTTTCCCAAGGTTACTGAATTCCTAAAAGGTTAGCAAAAAGAATTCCTAAAAGGTTAGAAAAAGAATAAAAGAATAGGCATGTTAGGCACTGCAACAAAAACTTGGGCATAATGCTTTCACGTTTCTATGGGGAAATCGGAAACGCCAAGTATTGTCTACTCCGCCCGTCACACCTTCAATTATGTTCAGATCCGTGAGAAAAACATTTTAAATGTGACGTACGAGCATGGATGTGCATGAAATATGCACAACTTTTGCAGATTGTTGAAAAGAAAAACGAACAAAATCGAATAAGTAAACAAACAAACATTAAGGTAATCAATGCCCGCCCGCAGAAGTCAGTCTGAATTCGTGTCCGATGACTCAATCCAAGGAAATCCCTGCAAAAACCAAGTCCAGGCCGTCGGAAAGTGCAAAGGCTGCTGGCCTTCATATGTACTTTCATTGAACAAATATTAGCTAAGAAATGACGTAAGAATGTGTTTTACCCTAAACTGCACAAACTCATTGAGAACAGGTTACGACGTCCATTGCGTGCGACAAATCCAAGATAAAAGTGAAATAACAAAATAGGGAGGTCTCATTCTGTCAATATGACAGACCGGCAACACTGTTATTTCTACTCTCTAACCGTTCATCATATTTTTCCAGGCGGTAATCTGTTCCCAGGGTTACCTGAAGGGAGGGTTTCGATAAAATTCATTTTTATGGAGTATGGGTGTGAAAGAAAACAGAAAAGGGAAAAGTGAAAGATATAGAAGAAATAGGGAAGGAAACTGGTAAGGGACCAAAAAAGTGGATTATTTGCTTGAAATAAACCTTAATAGATAAACCTGATTCGTTATACTTTCAGACTTTTCGGGAATAATTTCAAAAAGGAATCCTCATACCTGATGTGAATATCCAAAACTATCCTTATTGAAAATGTAGTTGGACGAGAGTAGACGGGGCAACTCGTTTTCGCCTCTTTGCCTGCGCTCTCTTATAGAAATAGCGTCCTGATGGCCAATTCCTCTTCTCGTAGTATGAAGTCAGGATTTCACTCACTCCCATGCTCCTACCCCCTTAAGGGGGGCTTGGGCCCAAATCTCTATCCCTTGACTAAGAATTGTTTACAAGGACCGTTAGAAACCCACAAAGCTCGCTTTTTATAAATCTGCGCCTCTAGGAATTAGCGTCAGAGACGCAGAGGCCAGTATAGTGACCCCTCCGGCCAAATTTTATTTTTTTTTTGTGCTTTTTATTCAAAATTTATTCTTTTTTTTGGTAATTCAAACAGCTTCTTAACTAGTGGATTGAAAATTTTTGTCAGGTGATTAATTTCAGGGACGTTTCCAAGAGAAAGACGTCCCAACCCGTCGTCAAATGAATCTCTACGAAGGAGCGAAGAATCTGTCGTCATTCATCAACTGCTTCTGAGAAAAATCGACATAGAGGATAATAGTAGAAAATTTGCAAGCTTAATCGGGGCTTGCAGTGGAGAGGAACGTTATAAAAAACGAAGTCGGCGAAATCTAATAGGACAGTCGTGCAGAGTGTCTGCAAAAGGATAAAGACTGCGAATGTTTCTGACAAAAAAAGGTTTTACAACAACTTTGGAGATTTTGTTGGGAAGAAAAACATAAAAAATTACAAGGATTGCGAATTGAGTATTAGTAATAATGGAAACTAGTAGAACGCATGGATAAAGAAGGAGGATAAAGGATAGAGCCTTTGACGTCAATCATCTTCATTTCTGGTATGGCCGCTTTCATAGTCCGCCGGCCGGCCGGCTGGCGCGCCGGCGCAGTGAGGTAAAACGAATTAGGAATTAGCTCGTATGTAAGAAATCTACGTCTGTAGCATTTTATTTCACGGTCAGAACAGGTCAGAACCGTGAAATATAATGCAACAGACGTAGATACATACAAACTAATTCGTTTTACGTCAGTGTGCCGGCGCGCCGGCTGGCCGGCCGGCGGACTATGAAAGCAGCCTATGCGCCCCTCATTCGGTTTCCATTCGGAATCGTAGTGACGTATTGAACGTGTATGTGACCTATACAATGACTGGCGGTGGCCACCTAATGTACAAGTCAGTGCTTATCCTCCCAGACAAGTATAGTACCGATTAACCGTCCCTGATGGGATTGAAGGATTAGTTGGCCTAGGCGGATGTTGAACCGGATTCGAACCCACGACCAAGTGTGTGTGATAGTGCGCCACTTGCCCCTACAAAACCTCAGTCGGAAGGATATAGGTAAATAAATAAGACGTGAATGATGCATTAGGACATCCCAAACCCACTGAATGTTATTTTGAGCAGACCTGATTTAACCCGGAAATAAAGTACACCCCCACTCTTCCGCTGTAAAATGTGACTTCACCGTTGCCAATGCTGCTCAACTTCGATAACGAGATTCGGAAAATTTTCTCTTCTTTCACCCCCTGCTTTTATTCTTACCTTTACATCCTACGCGGAACGTGTCGAGGTTTTAACGCTTTTTGGTCTCTGGGATCGGCTAATTTGTAGCAGGTTTACCATGAGAAAGATGTGTGGGCGAGGGGAGGGATAGTTGCACACTGGGAATGTTTGCATAGCGCATTCCAATGAAAGAATGATTTCGTTTCTTAAAATTACTACTTCGATAACAATTGGGATCATGACTAGCAAAATAAAGTAAAGTTCAGAAAGAGTACAGCTTGAAATATTACGAATTTAGGTTTTCATTTATTTAAAAAAAGGGCATAGCTTAATTGGAAGCCCTCAGAGACAAAGTTTGGCAAAACGAATATGTTCGGTCACAGGATGGAGGTGTTGATGTAGAATAGTACATCGATGGGGAACAAAACGAGAAACTTCCTGCAAACGTCGGATCTTATTAGAGCCTTCTTTAAGTAGTTCGTTTCCCTGGCTAGACTCAGGAGATTACGACAAGGAAAAGGGTGTTGAAATGAGTTTTCAGCAGCTGTGAAGCAACATGTGTTAGCTATTAGCGTATACAAGCTAATTACATTTACAATAAAAGGGCTCCGTTCGGGATTGTGCAGACGTGGAGCTTGCAGAGCGGTTAAACAAGCATGTTTCTTGGACTACGTACCGGTAGTGGGCCTTGGGATTGGTTTTCAGACCCTTATAACACTCTATCTTTTTCAGGAGAGGGTTAAGGTGTTTTACCTGCTTCGACATACGCATCGTAGACTTGAACTCTGTTAAAGCAAGGTGGAAATGAAGTGTCATTCAACTGGTTGTCAAAATACTCGAAAATTTCTGATACACCTAGGTGTAGGGGAGAATCCGGGGTTCCAGGCTCCGTCAGCGGACAATGATTCGGAACGCTGTTGCTTATGAAAGGAAATTAAAGATCAGGTGGGCCGGACTCTTGATGGGTCGTGATGACCGTTAGACTAGGGCGATTACTAACTGGATTCCTTGGGACGTCAAACGTACTCCTAAATGGCCGCCAGCGCGATGGTCAGACTTCTTCATGAAAGCCCTAAANTAAAGAAAAGCTTTGTCTCGCGTTCATCGAGCGAGGCGATCCAATGGACTGCACTGGTAATACAGGTGGTAATACTCTGACTAAACCACTTTTCCTTCAGACAGCGTCCCATATCACCTAGTGTCCTAGACGTGTCCTAAGACGAATATGCTATCAAAAGAAATGGGATTCGGGGGGCCGATGGAGCAATTTCTTTTGGGTATAGGACATGTGATTGTACTAAACTGGAATCCAGTTTCGAAAATAGCGCTCAATGAACTTTAATCACCTGCCTATCACATCATAACACAAGTAAACAAAAGGTGTGAAAGCTCAAGCTTGTCGAGTGAAAAGAAATAATTGGACTACTGTTTGAAAAGCAACTTTTGTGTTCAGCATAGTCTTGTGCTCTGTTTCTTTAACAAAAACAAGGAAGTAGGAAGAAAAAGTGAACTTCCAAGAGGTTCCGGGTTGATCCCGCTGAAATATGTCACATAGTAGACTTTTGTTCAGAATAGTTACGGAATGTGAGGGTTTATTCGATTTAATGAAAAGATCAGAACGTCTTGGGCTTGTGAACCTTCAAATAACCTCGAAATCCATTTGTCTACCAGAAGGAACAAAAAGCTTGACTGACGCGAGGAAATGCAGTTGCTTGAGCAAATGATTGGGAAACACTCTCAAATCATGTATGGAGCACAGCAAAACAAATTATTTAAAAGAGATGAGCTTATATATAGATGGGCCCTTTGGCGTTAATCAATC